GTTAAGAACTTTGCTTCAGGATGAGAACAGAAATCGAGCTCCGGCGGCCCCATTAGCTAAAGTGGTGCCTCAGGTTAAGAACAGTTTCAGGTTAAGAACGGACCTCTGGAACGAATTAAGTTCTTAACCTGAGGTACCACTGTACAGCACAGCAAAGGAAGGTGATGTGTGTGTCTCCTCCATCCTCTTTTGCTCCCCGTCCTCCATTTTATATTTAAGCAGGGCTCACAGCCTCTCCATCAGTATTAGTGTGGCCCTCAATCTACCAGAATGACTGTTAGCCATTCTTGCCAATGGAACTTCTCTGTCCAGAGGCAGTATATCTGGGACAAAGAACAAGGAAAGGCTTTCAAAATAAGCTCTCCACTGGCATCTGCCTGGCCAAACAGAATAATGGACTATTAGATGGACCTAGATGGTCTGATGCAAGACAGCTCCTTTGGCTGTTGCTGGTGGCAGGCAGCTAGGCAGACCAACCTGCGACCCAGACCAGAGAGGCAGGCTAAACCACGATTGGCTGTGTTTCCTCTAAGCTTTTGCCTGCATGCTGCTAAGGGGCTTATAGTCTTTTGTTTTCCCAGAGTTAATTCTTTTTACCCGTTGCCCTGCACTCCCTAATGCTGCCAGGGAAGGTTACCCTTTTATCGAGCCCATTTTGTGTGTGTGTGTGTGTGTGTGTTTATGGGATGGCAAAACAGAAGGGAACTGGGTGAAAGAGGAAGGAGACAAGTTAGCAGCATCGTGGAGGCAGCAGAGAAAACACTCGAAGCAGTCAGCAGGGGAGTCATTGTGCCACTTAAAATTGCATGTGTCTTCCCAAGGAACTCTGTTAGTGACAGTGGTGCAATGTTCCTAATGGGGCGTTTTAACAGGCATCCCACCTGTGCTACTCCCTGAGCATACAAGATAACACCAACTCCCAAAGCCCTAGGCTTCTCCTGACTAGAGTTAAGGTGCCACAGTGAAAAAGGCCCTGTCTCACTTAGGTGGCAGGTGTTGAGAAATACCTGCTGCTGGTCAGTGTAGACATGGCTAGTTGAACAAATAGTCAGTACAGTGGACACTCAGGTTGTGAATGTGATCTGTGTGGAAGGCACGTTCGCAACCCGCAGCGCTGCATCTGCGCATGTGTGGGTCACGATTTGGCGCTTCTGCACATGCGCAAAGCATGATTTAGTGCTTCTGCGCATGCGCGAGCACCGAAACCCAGAATTAACCTGTTCCAGTACTTCCGGGTTTGGCACAGTGCACAGCCCAAAAACATGCAACCTGAAGCATCTGTAACCCGAGGTATGACTGTGTAATGTGTGATGTTTTAAAACTTATACCTTGTTATAAAATTGTACGTTGTATAATGGCTCTTCATTTGTTCATCCTTTGAAAAACCATCTTTGACGGCAAATAACCCATTCCACACACACTTTTCAAAATGTGTGTTTAATGTAACATGTAGTAGCCATCTGATCTGTGATGGCTTCTTCACATGTAGAATCCATCAAGGGAGGAGCCCAGAGTGAAATAGGTGTGTAGTTGAGTCCTTATGCAGACCTTCTTGTGTTGTTCTCAAAGGAGAACATAGGAGGCTGCCTTAAACCAAATCAGAGCTGCCATTATTTTCTCAGCAGCTTCAGAACTCAGGAACTCAAAGAACCTGGTGCTGGCTCCTGCCTGAAGCTGTTTGTTCTGGATGCTGCAATCTCAATCCAGGCTGCTATGTTTCCTTAAACATAGCATGACGCGGGTGGCGCTGTGGGTTAAAGCCTCAGCGCCTAGGATTTGCCGATCGAAAGGTCGGCAGTTCGAATCCCTGCGGCGGGGTGCGCTCCCGTTGCTCGGTCCCAGCGCCTGCCAACCTAGCAGTTCGAAAGCACCCCCGGGTGCAAGTAGATAAATAGGGACCGCTTACAAGCGGGAAGGTAAACGGCGTTTCCGTGTGCGGCTCTGGCTCGCCAGATGCAGCTTTGTCACGCTGGCCACGTGACCCGGAAGTGTCTCCGGACAGCGCTGGCCCCCGGCCTCTTGAGTGAGATGGGCGCACAACCCCAGAGTCTGTCAAGACTGGCCCGTACGGGCAGGGGTACCTTTACCTTTATGTTTCCTTAAGACACTGTGCAAGATGATAAAATGATACAGTGGCTGTTGGTCCAGTATACCTGAAGGAGCGTCTCCACCCCCATCGTTCTGCCCGGACACTGAGGTCCAGTGCCGAGGGCCTTCTGGTGGTTCCCTCACCGCAAGAAACCAAGTTACAGGGAACCAGGCAGAGGGCCTTCTCGGTAGTGGCACCCGCCCTGTGGAACGCCCTTCTACCAGATGTCAAAGAGAAAAACAACTACCAGACTTTTAGAAGACATCTGAAGGCAGCCCTGTTTAGGGAAGCTTTTAATGTTTAATAGATTATTGTATTTTAATATTATGTTGGAAGCCGCCCAGAGTGGCTGGGGAAACCCAGCCAGATGGGCGGGGTATAAATTATTATTATTATTATTATTATTATTATTATTATTAGTGAGGTACCAGCAACTTCTGGGCATAGCAGTTTCACAGGACAACGGATGGCCTCTGGAACAACAGCCTACCAATGTGCTGATCAATTGTTTCAACAGGAAGACACTGCCCAAATAACACACACAGAGAGAAAGAGAGACCCTGAATCTTACCACTCCAAGTACCTCCACTGCTTATCTTCAAAATACTTTTCCTCCTTAGAAGCCCACTTTCCCCTAAAGCCTATTTAAAGATCCCAGTCTCCAGTCTCAAAACGGAGTGGAAGCGGAAGTATGTGTTTGCCTACGTCTGTCCCTTAATCCCTATGCTTCACCCACTGTCAACTTCATTTTTAAGTAGCCAAGGGGGACAGGGGGCAGCTGCCCCCCTACCAGATCCACAACTATTGTCAAAAAGCACTGAAAGTACTCAGTTATCTGAGTTTCTGCCTCTTCCCCCCCCCCCGCACAATGTCCTATTTACGGGGTATTTTTTATCCGTGATTTCCCAAGAAAATCTCAACAATTTTGATTTCCTGAAAAAAGCTGCCACCTTCCTAACAAAAATCCTGGCTATGCCCATGTTTCTAAGGTCCTTAATCCCCGCTTTAGAGGCAAAATTTAGACTGTAGACTCCTCGGGGCAGAGAGCTGTCTGTGCTTTTAACATTTGTTTACAAATTGAGCTGCAGTATTGCAGGGTGGTACTATGACTACTAGTAGCAACGGTGGTAGTAGTAGCAGCAGCAGCAGCAGCAGCAGAAAGTGGCTCCAAAGCTAACATCGGCTAGATTCTAAACTTTAAGTGTCTCTTTCTTTAAGATTTGCTCTTCCCTTTGTTCCACACGTTGATCCCCCCCCAAAAAAGTAAAATCTAAATTCATCCCCATATGTTGATATCCAAACACATACCTTCGCACAATTTAACATCTTTCTGAAGCTGCTGCATATCTTTGTTTTCGTGAACAGATCCTTCGAAACATAACAGTTTGCATTTGTTATATTAATATGTGATAAATAAATTGTGGGTTTATCTGCTTGTTTATTCCGGTTGTGCGATTTTATTTTATTACTTTATCCTATATATAATATATAATGTGTGTGTATATATAATGTGTGTGTGTGTGTGTGTGTGTGTGTGTGTGTACATACATACATACATATATATATATATGCCTTATATTCTTATTGTCCTTGTTATTTGTTCTCTACCTGCAATGAAGTTTCTGCGACCAGATGCTTGATTTGCAACGGCTTTGTATTCTGGAAACACTGAGTAAAGAGAATAGAAACAGGGGTGGCGGTTCATTCTGAAGGAAACTGAAGGAAGCGACTCAGGTCGGTGTTGGCAGCCCTTATCCTTAATTTCAACCAAAAGCACACACTTGTGAGTTTAAGCCTAACAATAACGACGACAACAAAAGATCAGGAAATGGACCATCAGTAATAAAGGCGTGCGTGTTTCTGAGCATGTGCAGAGTGCCTTTCCCCTCCCAGCTGATAAATTCCAGGAGAGTCAGCGGCTGTGGCTGCCTTCTTGATTCCGCACTTGGTGTAAGAGCGGATTGACTCCGATCAAATGGTATTTCTGCGTCTGGAATCCGGCCATTCAGACTCACCGACAGCAGCGCCCACCGCAGAAACAGCTCCGTTTGCAGAACTTTTTTTAAGCACATCGGATCAGCGCTAGAAATGTAGGGCCAGAAACGGGACAGAACAACAGACACAAAATCCAGCTGGCTGGGCAGTCGCAAGAAAATAAGTTTATTTCATTTATTTAAAGCCGGGAAGGAAAAACGAGTGGTTAATAGGCGCGGCAAATCGATTAATGCCTTAACTGCGGATTAAGCGGTTAGATTTTAAATAGGATTTTAAGCGGAGTTTTCCCCCCGGAACGATATCACATCCCTGAGTCCTCTCTGCATAACATCTTTCAATGCCGCGCTGGGAACGAGGTCCTTGCAAAAACGAAAAGTAAAGAAAGAACAAGCGATTCCTCGTCCTTTAGACCCACACCCAGGAGCCAAAAACACTCCGTCGAAGCCAACGGGGTGAAATCGAATTAAAACCCCACAGTCCTGACCTGGACGGCTCCTTAAATCGCTGTCTTCGTCCGATAGCCCTTCCTGAGACTTGCCCAATTTATTTCAATTAACTAATTTTGATTGCCTTTAATTAATTAACAGCCTGAGAGGGAAGAGAGAGAGAAACCAGTAAAACCATCAGGCGCCTTTCTGGCAAAACGACCTCCATCCTTTCGTTAAACTCCACGGATTTCAAGGGTGGGCTTCTTGGAAAGTCTTTCAAGATTAGGGAGAAGCTGCGCCCCTTCCACGATTCCTCCCCCCCCCCCCCGCCGCACATTCAGATCCTAATCTGACAAGACTCCCAGACTAGATCCCTAGGCCCCTAGATAGCTCCTCCTTTGACAAAGAAATCCTCTTGTTCCCGTTCGCAGGAGGAGATTTTCTAAAAGTGTGTTTGTGGAACAGGGCATAGTCAGCGTGGCTAGTAGCCTTCGCTGCTCCTCTCCGCGAATTTGTCCCTCTTTTAAAACCCACTTGTTTTTAAGACGTGCGTACGTGAGCTCCAAAATGCCTCCTGTAAACTTTGCCCTGCTCCTCCCTCCCTCTGCAGCCGCCTGGACCTTCTGAAACAAGTTTTCTGCCCTTTTTAAAAGCAAAAATAAAACCTCTTTCCCTCTTCAACCGGAGTTAGCCCGTCGGAAGTCGAGACCTCCCCGAAACCCTAGCAAAAAAACCAAAACAAAACCGCATCCACTCCTCAGCCTCCCTCGACGGCGACCGTTTCTCTCTGGCTGCTTCCTCCCCGCTGGTCAGTTTCCTCGAAGGGCCGCCCTTCCCGTCGAGGGGAGGAGCCTGAGGCGAAGGAGAGCCCCCACCCCCGTTAATTCAGGTGCCTCCGGCCCCCAAGTCGCACAAAGCCCCCGGGAGACGGAGCGCACGGGAGCAGGCAGGCAGCAGCGCCCGCGGGACTCCGACGGGACGCACCTCTGCTGCGCCTCTCCCAGGCAGGGCTGGTGGCGTCGCTGCGCGGGCGAGCTCCTTGCTCTGCCCGGAGAAAGGTCACTCCAATCCTGGCCGCTGATCCTCGGCCGTCCGAGGACGACCCGGCCCCGTCAGCTTGGAAGGAGACGGGAAGGGCGGCTGGGGCCGAGAGCCGCTTAGGCTCAGCGAGGACTCGCAAGCCGCCTTCGCCCGCTGCTGCCCTCTGACACGAGCAGATCCCGACGGGAGTTGGTCGCCTGAGGAGCCTCTCAAATCCTTCCAGCCGTCGGAAGGAGGAGAAGAAGAAGAAGGAGAAGCAGGGTCCCTCCGTCGTGCTCTTGTTGGACGGCTGAGCAAGGAAGGAGCGCGCATGGCATAGGGGAGCCCCCGGGGGTCCTTGGAAGGGGAGGATCGAGGGCTGTCCTCCTCGCCCTCCCCCCTCCCCACACCAGCCCCCTGCCCTGCCGCCAGGAGAGCTCCATGCACCTGCAGCAAGGCTCCCTTCTGAACATGACCGACGGCGGCTTCTCCCTGACTGGGCACTTGGTGAGGAGCCCCAGCGGAGGAGGGAACCCGTCGAGGCTCCACAGCATCGAAGCGATCCTGGGATTTACCAAAGAGGACCCTCTTTTGGGTGCCTTCCAAGCCCACGATGCCAGTGGCGGAGGCAGGCCCATGAAGGAGGGAGAGAAGCGCAGCCCCAGGGATTGCTTCTCCAAAATGCCAGCTGAGCAGCCTGGGCAGGGCCAGGAAGGGCCCGCGGAAGAACACTTCGGAGGTAAGGCAGGGTGCGAGGGGTTTTTTTGGGGACGGGGTTCTGGTGTCAAATCATAGTCTCCCACTTACTGGAGGACCCCGGTCCTCCTGTAGCTGCTGGGACCAGTGAAATTGTGTGGTTCCTTTGCTTCAATTTGAAGGAGACCCCCCATTAACCCCCTTTAGAAGCAGGTTCGAATAACTTTATTATTATTATTATTATTATTATTATTATTATTATTATTTTGGGAAGTATTTAATGACTGGTGGCTTATTATGTTTGATGTATTATGTGCTGGAAGCCACCCAGAGTGGCTGTGGAAACCCAGCCAGACGGGTGGGGTATAAATAATAAAATTATTATTAAGAGAGGGGTGCATTTTTTAAATGGGCGCCTTTAAAATCAGTTAAGTGTTGGAGGGGGTAACTGAGGAAGAAGAGGAGGAAAGTGTTTTAAAGATCAGGCATCTTTGTGAGACGCCTCAGACACAATAATAAAAACCCCCACTCTTTAAAAATCCCAAACACAGGGAGCTGCCTTACACAGAGTCAGACTATGGGTCCCATCTAACTCAGTCTTGTCTACACTGACTGGCAGCCACTCTCCAGGGCTTCTAAGAAGTGTCTCTTCCAGATCTCCCAGCTCTGCCTGCAGATGCCAGGTGATGGTGATGCTTTTCAAAGGAGCAACCTATTGAGTGTGTCTTTGGCTGCTTGAGCAAACAGTGCCCCGGGTGTTCTGTAAATTGTACAACTTTCGAAAAGGCACTATGGCATGCAAAGAGGAAAGAGAACATTTCCCAGAGCACAGCATGGCAAATTAAGGCAAGCACACTGACACTGGACACATTCGCATGTCCCACCTGAACTTAGTGAGGCTCCCTGAATGGGCTGTTAATGCGGCTGAGGCCCCATCCATTACAATGGCATTTTATACTGAAGTACGTAAGTTGCTACAAACATGAGTTTGGCCAAACTGCGGGAGGCAGTGGAAGACAGGAGTGCCTGACGTGCTCTGGTCCATGGGGTCACGAAGAGTCGGGAACGACTAAACAACAACGTATGTTGGGGACCAGATTTCCCAGGGAGGGATTCTCAACCCAAACTCATCTTCTTGAAGGCAAGTGCTCAGATTATTTCAGTGGGACTTGCTTCTGCGCTAAGGGAGCTGTTTCCATTTTGGGGGAAATAGCCTTGGAGCTTAGGAGACAGAGAAACATGGTCTTGTCCGGTTCTTCAAGCTTGTTTTCTTATCTCATCTGGGGTTGCCACACTTGTGCGGCGTATTCCCAAATGGATCCATCAAATGGCACGGAACCAATGAACCAATATGCCTATGAGCTGTCCATTTTATCCAGGGGTTCCTCTCTCTGAGGGCTGCCACCTCTGCTCATGTTAGGAAAAGCCTAGCCATTGGAGAATGGTTCGGAATGGCCTCTGTTTTACCAGGGGAATAGTACACCCTTAGAATACTGTGTCCCATCCTGATCCCCACACCTCAAGAAGAGTTTCGCAGAGCTGGGAAAGAGTCAGACATGGGGCAAAGCAAAATGATCACAGGGGCTGGAGCAACTCCCTTTATGACGAAGAGTTGGGGCATGATGAAGGTGTGCAAAATTGTGCAGGTTATGAAGAAAGTGGACGCAGAGATGTTTTTCTACTTAGAACTTGGGGACACCCAATGAAGCTAAATCTTGGAACACTAGAAGTTCTTCACTCAGTGCCTAGTTAAGGTTGCACTTCCAAAAGATGCAGCGAAGTCCATCAACTTGCATGACTTTAAAGGGGATTGGACAAATTTAGGGAGGACAAGGCTACTTGCCTTGTCAGCTATGTTTTTCCTCCACAGTCAGAGATTACATGCCTTTGAATACCAGTTGCCTGGGAATCGCAAGTGGGGAGAGTGCTGTTGCACTCCTGCCTTACTTGCAAGCTTCTCGCGGGCATCTGGTTGGCTGCTGTGAGAACAGGACGCTAGACTGGATGAAGTGTAGGTCTCATCGTTTTCTGGTCCCACCAGCACATCAAATTCAAATTGCTTCCCCCAGGCTACATTGCACTTGTGTCATGTGAATCGCGCCCCACTTGTGAGCATCTGGCTCAACACCATGGGAAGCGATGGGAAAGCTGGCTTAGGCAGACTTTGCTCTAAGCCAGCAAGATGCAATCTCAGACCTTTCCAAAGCAGATGAGCGATGGTCCAAAAACAGCCATTGGAGAATGGTTCGGAATGGCCTCTGTTTTACCAGGGGAATAGTACAATGCTGGGACGAAGGGGAAGGGAAGCATCAAGCTGTGCAGAGCAGTTGAGAGGATCAGCTTCCATTCATTTAGATTTTGATAGAATTTTATTAACTCATAATAATATATAAATGACCAAGGCCATGTATCCTTGGCTGGGCACAGAGCTGCTGAGTTCAGCATAATTCTGAGCAGGCCTGCACAGGATTGCTCCAGTCCAAATCAGAGCTAACGGACTTCAAAGCAACGAAATCAATGGCATTTGCATATATGTAATAGGTTTTAGGATCCAGCGTAAGGCTGCAAAAAGCAGAAACAGTAGCAATATCAATGTTGCTTTTAACACTAGATTTTATTTTGAAATAAAGTCAAAACTGAAGGCAACCGAAAGGAGGAACACACAGGAGATCACTAATTAAGTAATGTGATTATATGGTGTTGATTAATAGCAATACATATTTTCTTTCTTGTAAAACACTCAAAGTCTTTTAAAAGATAAAGGAGATGTATCTATCTATCATCTATCTATCTGTCATCTATATCTATCATCTATCTCTATTAGTTCTCTGTGAAACCAGCTCAAAATTTTAAAACAAATCAAGACAAGAAGTCTGGATTTATTAAATTTGGAAGCAAATGGTGTTGAAATCAGTGGTATACTTACATTCACTCAAATGTGCTTAGCATCAGGTAGACATGCTGGTGTGAATCAGCTTGACTACCCAATCCTTTGCACGCCTACTCAGAAGTAAGTTCTACTGATTTCAATGGGACTTACTCCCCGGTAAGTGTGTACAAGGTTACAGCCTTAAATCCATGAGCTCTGACTCCATTTGTTGGTGGGTTGCCTCACCTCTCCTTCTTCTCCCCCCCCCCCCAGACCCCTACTGCTCCAAACGCTCAGAAGAGTGCTTGAGTCCAGAGCTGGCCACTTGCAACAACAGCGACGGCAAACTGTCCGATGAAGACCAGCCCAAGAAGAAACACCGGAGGAACCGGACAACCTTCACCACCTACCAGCTGCACGAACTTGAGCGAGCCTTCGAGAAATCCCACTATCCCGATGTCTATAGCCGAGAGGAGCTGGCTATGAAGGTCAACCTACCTGAAGTGAGAGTCCAGGTAAAATGTCAGGTGGTCTTCTCTTCCTCCTCCTCCTTCTCCATCTAGCCACATGGTGAAATCTTGGACAGTTAATCCTCAGGTTCTCATTTTCATAAGAAGACCTCAGTCAAAAGCAGCCTTTCCCTGCTAATCCAGTAAAAGGCTCCCCCACCCTGGATATAATTTCAGACTTTGCATACGTAGTAAAGGATTTTCCTTAATCTGCCTTTTTTTAACACTCCAGACCACAATCTCTCTCTAATTATGAGTGTTTAGTTTCAGATACTCTGGCTAAGAATTCTCCTAATCATGCAATGTCCAGCACAGGAGAAAGGTGTTGGTTGGTTTGTTGTCATTTTGGTAGATCATGCAATTTGAAATATCATCTACATTGATGTTGTTCCGGGTTCCCCCCATCCCAACCCTCTGGAGCAGATTTAGGGAGCATACAAGAGGACACATAACAGCAGAAGAGCAGGATGTCCACTTGTGCAAGCAAGCAGACCTTATTCCGTGCATGCAACCATTGAGTTGAATCCTGTCCCATGTGTCCAACTTTGCAGCCTTTTCTCCAAAGGGCTGTTCAGTCCAAGCTCAGTTTGAAAATCTTTCAGAAGGGAGACCAAGAAAGGCCTTGAAGTTGCCCTTCAATAGTTAGTCGCCAGACAGCAGGCTGAGCAGGCACAGGTCACTTCCGCACTGCGGTGAGATGCATTGTATACTTCTATTGAAATTCCAGCAATTATTTCTAAATGTGTATCTATGCATATAGAACAGCACGTGCACCTTTTATGCAGATCTTTTTCCCTCTCTTGTGGTGATGCATAAGGGGCTGCTCTGTGGGGTGGGGGGGAGAAGGGAGGAGCCCCTTGTCTGCTCCCCCATTGGCGCAGCCTCCCACATGTTGGGGGCTGAAGTTCTGGAGAAGGGGAGTTTGCTGTACTTGAGCAAACTCCCACCTCACATCCCCCCAAGTGAGATTTAGAACCCTGATCTCCCAGCAGTGGCGTAGGGTGGGGGGGTGCAGGGGGCCGGCCGCGCCGGGCGCAACATCTGGGGGTTAGGGGGTGCAAATCCACGGGTTAGGGGGCACAAATTACTTGCCTTGCCCCAGGTGCTGACAACCCACGCTACGCCACTGTCTCTCAGAGTTCTAAATCTGGCAGGGTCCTGTGCAAGTTAATGCAGAGCAAAAGCATATATATTTGCAGTGCAGCAACCAGCTAAGCTCTTTACGGTACCCGTGTTTTTCGCTAAATGAATTGCATTGTGAGAGCCTAATTTGTTTAGAGGAGGTTATGAATGATTGCTGAAGAACTTTGCGGAAGAAAGCAAGAGCCCCTCGATTCACACACTTCACAGAAATTGAGGGGAAGTGTCAAGGAGCAATATTTACCTCCTTATCGCATCGAGATCCTATTGTGGGTGGATACATATGGAGATATGTTTTTTCCACCAAGGACTTAAAAGTACGGCACTTACCCTTAGCTGGATCCCACCAGTTGTAGAGTGTGTTGCAAAGAGCTGCGTTTTCCTTGTGTGTGTGTGAGCCTCCACCTCCGCTGCTTCTCAGAAACGTCAGTTCCCACCGAAAAGAAGAAAGTTGGGGATTTCTCCCCCACCCCACCTGCTTAATTGTAAGTGGGAGGTTTTTCGCAGGCTTAATTAAAGCTGAATGATCTGTAATCCCTGGATCACGAAAATGTTTGAGAAGCCTGAAATATTTACTAGTCATCTGTAAAAAGAAGAAGGAAAAAATCTGGGAGGGCTTCCAAAAGTGTGTGTGTTTGGAAAAAGCAGCCTCCAAAAACCAGCACTAATTTTATCCCTTCTAGTGGGTAATGAGAGCAGATTTGGGTTTATGGACTAAGGGGAATTATTTGATGGGGAGCATGAGACAAAATTGCCTGCAGGGGGTTTCTTTTTTAACCCGTCAAGTTTGAATTAACTAAGGGAGCTCAGGGCTTGGTATGGGTTTTAAAGGATTTTGGCCGGCATCTAAACTCAGAAAGTATATGACAGAGAAGCTCTTTTTCTTTGGGCAATCAAATAGTGCTGGTTGACTTTCAGGCAAAATTCTACTATTAAAGCACCCTTGGGATCTCATTTACTTAAATGAAAACAGGGTCCTGCAGCACCTTGTGATTATTTAGGCTTCAAGGCAAATAACTGTGATTTGGCTGTTTACTTATGAGCTAGTTTCACAAGTCTCGTTTAATATACAGTGGTACCTCTAGTTAAGAACTTAATTCGTTCTGGAGGTCCGTTCTTAACCTGAAACCATTCTCAACCTGAAGCACCATTTTAGCTAATGGGGCCTCCCGCTGCTGCCACGCTGCCAGAGCACGATTTCTGTTCTCATCCTGAAGCAAAGTTCTTAACCCGAGGTACTATTTCTGGGTTAGCGGAGTCTGTAACCTGAAGAGTCTGTAACCCGAGGTACCACTGTACAAGAGATATTTTCATATATCTGAAAACTCATGATTGAAAATTGCATGGAATGTGCATTTTGATCTACACCCGACTCTGGGGTGGCCAAGTTTATATATACTTTATATATACTTTTCAATTTTTAAAAATTAATTTTCCAGATTATTACAAATCAAACCAATTTATATTAATTTAATACAATTTCTTAAAATCAAGTTTCCCACTGCTGTTCCAAACATATGATCATCACCATTTCCTAACATAGCCGCATCATTTCTTATTTAGAGTCCAGTTGACATCCTTCACTTGCCGTTGAACCATTCTTCCAGCTGGCCACTTTTTCGCCTTACAAACAGCACCTTGGTTACATCTTATAAATAAACAATCCATTTCACAATATACATTGTTGTTCCGGACCTGGTGTGCTGGGAGAGTTAATTACTATCTTCCATTGTTCCTCTTTCCGAAGCAACAAACAGAATAACATAGCATCAGCTACACCAGGCATAGGCAAACTTGGCCCTCCGGATGTTTTGGGACTACAACTCTCATCATCCCTAGCTAACAGGACCAGTGGTCAGGGATGATGGGAATTGTAGCCCCAAAACATCTGGAGGGCCAAGTTTGCCTGTGCCTGAGCTACACACATCCTTTTCATTATATAGGGGAGGACAGGAAAAAGGAGGCCATTTGAAAACCGTAAGAAAGCATAAGAAAGCAAAAATCACCTTCTACTCCACCTTCCTTTCCCGGCCGTAAGCGTTCTCAAGCTTCAAAGAAAACATTCAGATACCTTCAAAGAGCCAGCCCTGTCCGTTTGGCAGCTGACTGATTGCAGCCTATTAGCATATGTCAACCCAAGAGCACCTCTTGATTAATGCCAATTGTCCGAATTATGGAGGAACCAACCACAAATCATGCTGGAGACGGAGGCTCGTCTATGGCAGGGACACTCTCCCAGGTCACCCACCCCTTTGTCTTTTAAGTTGGCAGACACAGGCTTGAGTGGCACAGCAGAATGCAGTGAGCTCCCCAGATCCCACTGGGGAACATAGCCAGGATTTTTGCCTCATAAATTCTGGTTTCCTCTGCCTGAACCTCCTCGCTGCTCACTGAAGCACCCCTCTATTGCAAGGGCTGCCTAGTCCAAGTCCAGGTTAACGAAGCCGCAGGAGGGAGAGCAGGAGGGTCTCATCAACAGTTTAGCACCTGCATGGCTGACTGAATAGGCTCACAGCTCACCACAGCCTTTCCTGAGTCGTATCCCTGAGCTTTACCTTATAGGTAAAGTTAAAGGGGACCCTTGACCATTAGGTCCAGTCGTGACCGACTCTGGGGTTGCAGCGCTCGTCTTGCTTTATTGGCCGAGGGAGCCGGCATACAGCTTCTGGGTCATGTGGCCAGCATGACTAAGCCGCTTCTGGTGAACCAGAGCAGCGCACGGAAACGTCGTTTACCTTCCCGCCGGAGGGTACCTATTTATCTACTTGCACTTTGACGTGCTTTTGAACTGCTAGGTTGGCAGGAGCAGGGACCGAGAAACGGGAGCTCACCCCGTCACGGGGATTTGAACCACCGACCTTCTGATTGGCAAGTCCTAGGCTCTGTGGTTTAACCCACAGCGCCACCCATGTCCCTGAGCTGCATTATATTTCTACTTAAATTACAGGGGTTGTAATTTGTTATGGTGAACATCCTATAAGCAGTGCAGCTTGCCAGGTGAAATTATCCCCTCTTGTCCTCACCCCATGCCATGTTCTGGGGTTCTCCCCATTCCCCCCCCCAGAGCCAAATTCAGGGGGTGAGAGGGAGGAGAGAAAGCCCCATTGCACAAGCAGAGGTTCTTGCAGCAGGTTTGTACTGACGGGACTCCTTGGGTGATTCCTTGCTTATTGTTTCCAAATCTGCATCTATGCCTATAAATTAGCACGTGTGGATTTTACACAAAACCGTGTTTTGCATTCTCATTTTTTGAATGCATTGTCACTGGCTCAAGGTGGCCAATGTCGATGTGTTTTATGATGTCTTTGTGTGAGGGAGATCAAAAGCAGGAGAAGCTTCCTTATGTAGAATGTTGTTGTTTAGTCGTTTAGTCGTGTCCGACTCTTCGTGACCCCATGGACCAGAGCACGCCAGGCACTCCTGTCTTCCACTGCCTCCTGCAGTTTGGTCAGACTCATGTTCGTAGCTTTGAGAACACTGTCCAACCATCTCATCCTCTGTCGTCCCCTTCTCCTTGTGCCCTCCATCTTTCCCAACATCAGGGAGTCTTCTCTTCTCATGAGGTGGCCAAAGTATTGGAGCCTCAGCTTCAGGATCTGTCCTTCCAGTGAGCACTCAGGTCTGATTTCCTTCAGAATGGATCACTTTGATCTTCTTTTATGTAGAATAGTATGTCTCTATTTTCATCTGAGAAATGTTGGAGGGTATGTGTCTGCTTTGTATTTATGTGGTTTCCCCTTTTCCCTTTAGGTTTGGTTTCAGAACCGGAGAGCCAAGTGGCGTCGTCAAGAGAAGCTGGAGGTGACATCCATGAAGTTGCAGGATTCCCCCATCCTCTCCTTCAACCGCTCACCTCAGCCCTCTGCCATCGGGACCATTGGCAGCAACTTGCCCCTGGACTCGTGGCTGAACCCGCCCATGCCCAACACCAGCCCCCTGCAGACGTTGCCAGGATTCGTGGCTTCCCCACAGAGCCTCCCCAGCAGCTACACCCCTCCCCCTTTCCTAAACTCTCCCCCCATGGGACACACCTTGCAACCCCTAGGAGCCATGGGGCCTCCACCGCCTTACCAGTGCGGGACAAACTTTGTGGACAAATTCCCGCTGGAAGAGGTGGACCCCCGCAACACCAGTATTGCTGCGCTGAGGATGAAGGCGAAGGAGCACATCCAGTCCATTGGGAAACCGTGGCAGACAATATGAGGAGGGAGATCTCTGGCTCGCGTGGTTTGTGAGAAAAGCTCCCCTTGCTCCACCTTTGGAAAGTGGTCTCATCCCTTAGATCTTATGTTCTGGACAGATAAGCAAAGACTATTGCTGTTAAGAGTGCCCCCTCATTCTGTGTTGTAGAAGGGACCTGAGCATTAAACAGAAAACGTTCTGCACCAACCCCTTAATCCTCCAATTTAGCCACTGCAATCTTTGTGTTCTTCCCCACCTTTGGCACAAGACTTAGGGCTTGGTTCTAGCTTTGCTTTGATTGTTGTATTTCTTCTTTTTTAATGATCTAATCATCCAATATCCCTGACTCATTGGCTGGATTACAGTAGAGGTGACGAAGAAGCAGGAAAATGATGTATCCTTCCTAGGGACGTTTTGTAAAATTAAAGCACACATATTTTCAGACAGGACACTGGGGTTGTTAATTCTGTATCTATTACTTATGGTTTCTAATTCTAAATCTGTTGACTGTGGTTTGCAGACTGTGGTTTGCAGCATCCCTCTGGACCATCAAGGTTTGGTTTTGTAAGCTAAATCAGTAAGCAGATCATCACATATTATTATTATTCATTCCATTTCTATACTGTTTTATATTTAAAGGGGGGGACTCAAAGCGGTTTACAGCACACTAAAACACCAAATAACACCATGCAGGAGAAAACGTGACTGAATAAAGTCAAATATAAAGTATACACCCAAAGCAACATTAGCAGGAAACTAAAATGTTATATGAAAGATTTCAAAATAAACCATTGCGAAGGAGGTCCGCTACAGAGTGCACATTTAATGCAGCAAAGTTAACAAAAAAAAATCTTAAAACATTTCAAAAGAAGACACTACTAAAGGAAGTCAAATATAAAATGCACATTTAAAGCAGCATAATTAACAAGAGAGTACGTTATCATAAGCATAGAGCGTATCTCCTGCAGTTCTGCCAATGGTGGCTCGTTTCACCTGTTCCTGGGTACAATGAAATAACCTGTGAATATTTGTTCTGATCAACCTCACTTTAAAATGTCAATAATAATAATACTCCACCCATCTGACTGGGTTGCCCCAGCAACTCTGGGCGGCTTCCAACATATATAAAAATATAATTAAACTTTTTTTAAAAAAAACTCCCTATACAGTACAGGGCTGCCTTCAGATGTCTTCCAAAGTTTGTATAGTTACTTATTTCCTTGGCTCGGTGGTCGCATAAGGGATGTTGCATGTGGTGCATTTGTACTTAACTAACCCTGCGCCCTGCCAATGCCGCTGGGCTCTAACTCCCATCTGCCCCCATCTGCCAATGGTCAAGGATGATGGGAGCTGTAGTCCAATACCCTATGGAAGGCACTCTGTTTCCCACCCTTGCGCTAAAGGGCCAAAGGCATGTTCTCTTTGGGAAACTGGATGAATGAGTGCACCTTGAAGATGAGCAGATAATTGCTACTTGAGGCCTGGATGGATTTTGTCCCTCTCCCACAGGGCAAAGTTGACTTGCATCTGGGAGAAGGGGACATTGGCTTCTGCCTTGATCATGAGGTTTGGCTTATGTGCTTAGACCACCTCAATGGTTCTGCTAGAGTACTGATTTTCTGTTAGCTTGTTCCTTGTTGTTGTTGTTTAGTCGTTTAGTCGTGTCCGACTCTTCGTGACCCCATGGACCAGAGCACGCCAGGCACTCCTGTCTTCCACCGCCTCCCACAGTTTGGTCAGGCTTATGTTTGTAGCTTCGATAGCTTGTTCCTAGTCTATGTTTATAGCATAAGATACCATGACATGGACTTGGATCCATAGTTTTCATGCTCCTTGCATTCAGGAAACACTTCCCAAGTTGACCCTTGTCATGGCAGGATTCTGGGGCACTGCAAAGGATTCTGGGGCACACGCTAGGCCACACGCCCAGTATGCAAAGAACACTACCTGGCCTCAACCGAAGAGCATGTTCTGGGAATTGCAAGGGTGTTGCGCACTGTCAAGTAACTCACCAGTGGACTCCTCCAAGACTCAGCTGGTAAAGCCAGGGCCCTAGACAGCACATGCTACCAGTCATTCTTGAAGAAATAGCTGGTCCTTCCTAGCTGCCATGGGAGACTTGATGCAAAGGAGTTATTTTGAGCTTTAACGAAGGTAATATTTTACCAGGCATTTGTTGTCTGAAGAATCATCTTAATTTCATTGCCAGGATCGAGAGATATCTGCAGATGGTTCGTGATACCGTGTTTTTCCGTGTATAAGACGACCCCTTTTTGGGGGACTCCCAGGTTAAGCAGTTTTCTGCCTATCCCAGCACTATGTACTCTGACTGGCTCTCCAAGATCTCAGGCAGAAGTTCTTCCCATCAGCTGCTCCTGTCAACTGGAGTCATCCAGGACTGTACTGGAGACCCCCTTGCAAGTGAAGCATGTGCCAGATTATTTGAACGGTAGTTAGGGATGAATGAAGCAGTTTGTTTTTGTCCATGTCACCGCCACATGTGTTCCCTCAAAAGCATGGGCGTTGACAGCCCTGTGCATGCTTCCGCTTGGGCAAAGAGCTTTTCCTTTCTCTCCTCCACCTCAGTGCCCCCTGTGCCTCCCCCAAATTGGCTCCGGGGTTGCTGAGAGAAACCCCAGAACATGTGGAGGGAGAGGAGAATAATTCTGTCTAGCAAGCTGATATGCTTGAGCAGATGGCATATTTCTAATACTGTGACATTAAATTCCACCCACTGCGTACAATACACTGTGCATCTTATTTTTGTGTGTGAACACTAAAATACAATAACCTATTAAACATGAAAAGCTTCCCTAAATAGGGCTGCCTTCAGATGTCTTCTAAAAGTTTGGTAGTTATTTTTCTCTTTGACATCTGGTAGCAGGCCGTTCCACAGGGTGGGTGCCACTACCGAGAAGGCCCTCTGCCTGGTTCCCTGTAGCTTTGCTTCTCGCAGTGAGGGAACCGCCAGAAGGCCCTCAGCGCTGGATCTCAGTGTCCGGGCAGAGCGATGCGGGTGGAGACGCTCCTTCAGGTATACTGGGCCGAGGCCGTTTAGGGCTTTAAAGGTCAGCACCAACACTTTGAATTGTGCTTGGAAACGTACTGGGAGCCAGTGTAGGTCTTTCAAGACTGGTCTTATATGGTCTCGGCGGCCGCTCCCAGTCACCAGTCTAGCTGCCATTTCCCCACTTTCAGTATTTTACTCCTGCCCTAGAAAAAATCCCGCATCCTCCCATGTTCAAAAGTCCATTCTGCCTCGTTTCCGCATTAATCTGCCACTTTGTTCACCAGCTAGCAGCGGTTCTCAACCTGTGGGTCCCCAGATGTTGTTGGACTACAACTCCCATCATCCCTGACCACTGGTCATGCTGGCTAGGCATGATGGGAGTTGTAGTCCATCAACATATGGGGACCCACAGGTTGAGAAACACCTGCTCCCACCTCTAACAAACCTCCAAGATCTTCTCCTTCCCACCCCATGCAACTAATAAACTCACTTTTCACCTTCCCAACCCCATTTCTGAAGCCACTTCTTTCTTCTATATCTCTGCAGCTCCACTTTGCACCCCTGTTTTCATCTTCACCTCCAGGCCCAGGCCTCCTGGACGCCTTCTGCGTCTTCCCCCCACTTTGCACACAAAGCACCCCATGAAAACCTCCTGTATCCTCCTCTTTGCACACATTGCAACTGCTAAGCACCCTTTCCCACTTCTGTCCAGTTATGAAGCCACCCCCTGCTCCTATTTTTCAGGCCCTTTCATGCTGCTGCTTTCATCTTCAACCCCATTCCCATACTCCCTACTGCATCCTCTTTCTTGCAGCTCCTGGTGCACCCATTCCACTCTCCTTTTTCCTCCACCCTCCTTACTTTTCTCAACTCTTCCTTGCACACAGATCCATTTTCATGCCTCCTCCTCCTCCTGTTCTTCAGCTTCCTTGGTACCCACCCACCCATGCTGAGATATGTTACTGTATCTTTAAGATGAATAGAACCTTAAAAGCAAGGCTGTCCATTAGCTTGTTCAGTTAAAGAAGGTTCCGTTCAGATGACGGACATTGTATATATATATATATATATATATATGCAGGTTTTGGTGTCCTCGGGTGTCTTCCCGTGTAAAAGTTGGGGTGTCTAGGCGACGTTTCGACGAGGTCTCACTCGTCATCTTCAGGCTGGTGCTTTCGGCTTCTTGTTACTGGAACAGAGCTCTGTTCCAGTAACAAGAAGCCGAAAGCACCAGCCTGAAGATGACGAGTGAGACCTCGTCGAAACGTCGCCTAGACACCCCAACTTTTACACGGGAAGACACCCGAGGACACCAAAACCTGCATTCCTGTACCCGTGAAAATCTACGAAAGCAAATATATATATATATATATATATATATATATATATATATATATATATAGGCGTTTGCATTTTAATAAAATATCTCTTCTATATTACTACAATGCACCTGGAACTTTGTGTTGAAGACATTTGAGGCAGCAGTAAAACTGCTAGCACATTTGCAAAGCTAAGCAGGGTCCAGGGTGGTTTCAAACTGGATGGGGAACCAGCCTGGATAGTAGCTTCATTGGTTAGAGCATGGTGGTGATAACACCAAGGTTGCAGGTGCGCTCCCAGTAAGGGACAGCTGCATATTCCTGCATAGCTGAGGTTTGGATTAGGTCAGGCATGGCCAAACTTGGCCCTCCAGATGTTTTGGGACTACAACTTTCATGATCCCTAGCTAGAAGGACCAGTGGTCAGGGGTGATGGGAATTGTAGTCCCAAAACATCTGGAGGGCCAAGTTTGGCCATGCCTGGATTAGGTGATCGTCAGGATCCCTTCCAACTGCATGAGTGTGTGTGTGTTGAAATTAGAGGGTTCCACAGCCTTTATCTCTCTCGCTTGAGGCAGCTGAGAAATGGAAAAGAGAGAACTTTGAAACAGCCAGTTTGTTCCTTTCTTTTCCCTAAATCTGCCGCAAAAAGGAGGCTGCCTCACTCTGCCTAGTGGAAGAGACCATCTTGGTGCACACAGCCTGCTTACTCCAACTGCGCTGCGACCAAATGGTTGTCTCCATTCCTTCCTCCTATTCCCAGGAACATAAATCGAGAACAAAAAGGGATCCAGAAGAGTTGGCAAGATTCCAGGTTGCCCACAACCTGTGAGCCTAAGTGGAGCTGAGCCAGGTGTCTGAGATTTTTATTTTTCTCTCACACACCCTCCCTCCTCACAAAATAAAGGCCACTCTGCAGAATTCTCCCAACATATTACCTGTCTCTCTATTTCCCAACCCTAGGCATTGCCATTCCCCACTTACAATGCCCCAGAACATTGTCTGTTCCAGGGCTTTGCAGAAGATTCAAAATGGCGGCCACACCACCACAGGCAGCAGTACTTGCGGCACATACAGGTTTGCCCCCTGAGAAGGGGGAATGGCGAGTGGTCTCATGATG